AGCGATGCTTCCACAAGCCAGTGATGGCCAGGAAGCCCCCGGAAGCTGGGAGAGGGGCAGGAGCGGATTCTTCCTCACACCCTTCAGAAGGAATCAACTCAGTCCCACTGCCTTGATCTCAGACTTCAGCCTCCCAGACTCGAGAACTGTTTAAGTCATTCAGCTTGTGGTACCCTGTTACAGCAGCCCAGCACACCAGCCTACCTTCCCAGCCCCGCGCAGACCTGGACAGCACACCCCTTGCTCTAGGGATGGGAACATCCAGGTGGAAATACCCGACCATCTGAAGAGGGCAGAGAACACCTGTTCTCAGCATGCAAGCAGAACCCAAGGGTCAGACTACGGCTGGCCAGTTCCCTAGACTGATCTACTGGTTAGATCGCTCCTCCCTGACCTGAGGACAGAGAAACTCTCCAGCTCACCCAGGTCCCTCTCCTATGGACATGAAAAGGCAAGAGTTCTACAGGTTAAAAACTCTGCTTCCTGTTTCCTGTGCTTTGGGTACAGGAACTTGGCCTCTTCACATTTGAGGAGGACTAGCGAGAAGACCAGGGTAGCAGGGAGTGGGTTTGGAAGTGCCAGCAGTGATGCCCCAGGGAGTCAGGTGCACTGGTCTAGAGCAGGTGTTGTCAGAAGCCAGGATGGATTTCTCGAAAGCTGTGGCACCTAGAGATCCTCAGTTATTTGGATTCGGAGCTCAAGCCAGCTCCGCAGGATTGGGGCTTGGATAGACCCTGTGCTTAGTGCACGGAGATGGAGAATTTCCGTGTCTGCAACGGCCAAGGATGACCGAAGTGCTGACCAGACTGGAGTGAAGACAGACTTGGGAGGCCAAAAACTCCATCCTCGGATCATGCTAAAGCTGGCGTTTTCTAAACGCGCGTCCCATGAAGTTGAACTCAGATATGTGCGCAGAGCAGTGATTACCTCACCTTTCCCTGACTCCCAGTGTTACAGCAGGCAGATAGCTCGACATGAGCAGAGAAAGGGGGATGCAGGCCAAAGGCAGGAATTGGTCAAAAAGGAGGGGCACGGGCCGAACGCAGGAAACCCTACACAAAAGCAGGGCCCCAAATCCTTCCCTCCCTAATGAATATTCTGCCCATTAATTTTTACACCCTAACTGACTTGCCAAAGAAACTCGGGGCAGCTGCTCACCTGAGCCTGCCCACTCTTCCCTTGAGTTCTCTGAATTCTTTCTGCAATGGGACAAGAACCTAGTCACCAGCAACACTAGCACCTTCCCCTGCACCTCCAAATCTTCACCCATCAATATCCCAAGCCCCTTGCCTTCCACTACTCAGATCTGAGGTTTGCTCTCCTGTCTTGCTAGCTGCCTCACATGCCTTTTCTCTGCAGCAAACCTCAGGGTCTCAGCCTTTAGCTTGCTGTGCCCATCAGGCAAATGAAACTGATTTGGGAGAGGGACCCTTGATCCTGCCTGAGCTAGATTTTCTGGGAATTTGGAAGTCAGGGTCTTCTCTAGCTTGCTGTGCTCATCAGGCGAATGAAACTGGTTTGGCATCAAAGGAACCCTTAATCCCACCTGGGCTAGATTTTCTGGGAATTTGGAAGTGAGGGTCTGTTCAGACTGGAGGTGAGGGCAGTAAGGCTAGGTTGAGCTAGGAGTGCTGGAGAGGCAATTTCTCTGGACACTTTAGAGCTGCTTCTTGGGCGTGGCTTACCCTGAGCCTGTTTACAAGCCTCAGAGGACCCAAAAAAGACAAGATTCTCAGGGGGCAGGGCCAGTGATGGGAGGTCCCCCCACTGTACAGGGCATCCCGGCATTCCTTCCCAGGAGGCGAGCTCGTCCAAGCCTGAGCTCCTGGAGGGAGTAGCGCCCACCGCGTTCCCTGTTGCTCATGCCAGTACCTGGCACAGAGCACTTTGGCAGGGGCCTGATGCACTCAAACAGGAGAGACCCCTTTCTGGAGCCTGGACTTGAGAACACAAGGGTTGAAAGTGAGCAAGTGGGAAGTTCAGAACACCTGCCCCGTCGCTCCTTTCTGTCCTCCCCGAAGGTGCCGAGACAGCAGCCTCACACGTCTCCTGGCTACGTCCCCAGTTTATGGAGGAGGAAACAAGGGCTCTGAGGCTAAGCACGCTTGGGATGAGGCGGATTCCCACAGAGCTGCACTTCTTGAGCCCTTGGCAGAACCGAGAGGTGAAGGCTTCTGAAACACACACACCTAGAGGGATTCTAAAGATTTCCTCCGAGTTACCCAATTCACTAGCTGCAACCAGTTTACCCAAAACCAGCCCAGGAATTTTCCTCAAGATTTAAGGAGTTGCCCCAAGAAGTGTTTTAAAGAGACACTATTTTACACAATTCGGAATTCAGCGCAAATTCAGGTGATACTCATTCCGTCTGGGATGCAGGCCAGCAGATTCGTTGCACTTGTCTAGTGGGCCCTTCACTAAGCATTGGAAAAACATGGTTCCTGTTGTGATGTTTACAACGGAGCAGGGTTGGCAAATTGGATTAACACTTGATGCTACGCCTGCTAGGTTAAGTATTGCCTAAACTTAGTGTCCGAATTCAGTTGAATGGACTGGCCTTGAACTGGGGTGTCAGGGAGGGCCAGGAAACAGGTACAGAAGCCCCAAGGCAGGCACGGCAGAGAGACAGAGCTCGAAGGCCCTGGTGGCATCCCTACTGGCCCAAGCAGAACGACCCAGGGAAACGGCAGCTTGAGAGCCAGGCTGGGTCTGGGTGCCCCGGGCCTTACAGGCCTGGGGGGGATGTTGGGCTCTACCTTGATAGAGGCCCAGGGTGTGGGACAGTGAGATTCCAGAGATGTGGGCATTCAAAGAGACTATATTTGAAGGATTGAATGTGGGCGAGGATGGGTGAGTGAGGTTTCTGGCAGTTAGAGAAATGGGGTCACTGTAGGAAGGACATCCCAGAGGAGCAATCTTACAGAGGGGAGGAAAGAAACTGTTTGGTCTCAGTCGGGCTTTGGGTGGTCTCAATGGGCATCTCTGGGACATTCCAGAGGTGCCAGGAGGCAGTTACAGAAGTAAGGGGCTCAGAAGTGGCTGGGCTGACAGACATTAGTGTTCACTGCAGAACAGTCTTTTCAGGGTCCCCAACATAGACGGGGGGCACATGTTAGGCGGTTGTACAAAGGCGTGGGTGGGGAGTAAGAGAACCCGAGGAGCTGGAAACACACTAGCCACAGCTGATACCACTCAAGCATCACTGAGCCCTTACGGCTGGGACCACCCCGAGACAACCCAGGGAAGGACCCCCCCCCCCGCATCCCTCTCCTTCCAACCCCCACAACTTCCTGCCAAGTCACTTGTCTATAGAAGTGCTATGATTTTTAGAGCCAACAGCAGCGTCCCCACCCCCAAACCAACATGACTTCCTCCTAAACTAAGAGCCAGAGCCTAGCACTCTGCCAGGGGTTTGGGACTTAGTTTTAAGTAACTTCAGTCTCCAGTGAGTCTAAGGCTTCACGCACACACGAGGGTTATTAGCTTGCAATAGCGTGTTGGTCCCTCCGTTACATAAACGCCTTAGGGGTGAACGTAAATTGTCACACCTGCATCTAATCCTAGTCCCATTAAGGTCAATAACCAAATCCTGGTTTCTCAGAATTACAGCCACCACTTGTAGACAGCTTGTTTTGCATTTCTGCTTTAGAAATTTCACCCTTATGAACAAAGACTTAACATTTCGAGGGTCCCTTAGACGTCACAGAACTACATTGTTTGATGGGGGAGTGCACGTGGGGCACGGGGTCACCCATTCCAGCATTTACCACGTGCCAGGGACACACTCCAGACAAAAACAGAAAAGCTGCAGTATCAGGAAAGGCCTAGGAGGTTGTGTTTGAAAATAAGGTGGTCAGGGTACGTGACTTTCATTAAAGAAGTGACGAGCCCAGAAGTACTTTTGAAGAGTACTTGGAGGCAGTGAAGAGATGTCACAGAGGCCTTGGGAGCAAGAGCAAGCTGGGGGAATTCCTGGAGCACCAGGGAAGCCAGTGTGCTGCAGAAAGCAAGCGGGCAAGGACAGCTGAAGGCAGAGGAGGGTAAGACGGAGCCTCACGTAACCCTGAGACCCATCACACAGGGCCCAGCGGGCCATCTTACTGACTTTAACTTGGACTTCGAGACTTGGGGCTCCTGTAGGTTTTAAGCTGAGGAAAAGATTTGCTTTTCGACTTAAAAGGAACAGGGTGCAATCTGGAGAGCAGATCTAGGTGAAGGTGGGGGAGGGTAGGTGTATGAGCCAGACCAGATAGGAAACACCTGTGTTAACCCAGGTGCGTCTTCAGGGCCCTGCAGTATTTCTAGGTTAAGGACACAAGAGGTGCGTTTGAAAATAGAACCAAGAAACTTTCCCAGAAGGTTAGAGATTTAAAGTCAAGGGTCACTCCACGGTTTTCTAGTTTGGGCTTCAGGTGCTTTGTACGTTCCTGTATCCCCCCCTTCCCCCTCCCCACCTCAGAGGGAAAGACAGCACCCCCGCAGAAAGGTGAGGTTCCAGCTAACACTCAGAGCCCTAGCTTTCCCCTTGCAAGGAGCAGCTGCCTTTATCTTACAAGAGAAGTTCCCTTTTCCTTCTGCTTTCCTCGTTAGGAAGCGAGCCCTAGTTTTCTTAGAACCTCCACTCCCCCCACCCCCTTTGCTCTTCTTGGCTTCTCAGCTTTCTAAAAGGAAGTTTTGAGAGAGCTGGGGTCGAGCGAGGCCCCTAAAAGTTCCTGCTGCCAGCAGCTTTTTTCGAGGAAGGGTAATTTCCAATTAGTCACACTTCAAAAAAGAGCAAGAAAAGCACTCCCCTATGTTTGCAAAACCCAACGGGCGCCTCACAGCTTCTGCAAACAGCAGGCGCCCAGCTCGGCCAAGGCTGGCAGCCCGGGAACGCCCACTACGAAAACACAGGCAGGAAAAAAAACGCTGCTGCCTTCAGCGGCCCCAAAACTTCAGCAAAAAACATCCTTCAGCAGCCCACCCGTCCATTCCCTGACAAACCACCCAACCTCACCCACCGGCTCCCTGGATCATTCTAACGCGAAGAGCAACCCGCGCCGCCTTTTTCACAGGGCCG